AAAATGTAAATGAATAATTGATTCCACTACAAGACAGTGTACTGATAAAAAAATCGTTTAATCGATTTGAAAGTTACTGAAAGTATTAATTTAACTTAGATAATATTTCTGTGATATATTTATAAAAAAATTTTAGTTTTTTAAGTTCTACTGAAACAAACTATAGCTGGTGAAATGCAATAAAATATATTCAACGAATTATTTGTCTTATATTATGCTAATATCTATAAGTCTCACTTTTATTTTTTATAATACAGGGGGCAAAAAAGCATACGTATCACTTGGTTATAAGTGATTTTCGCCGCTTATGTGAATTTGCAACGCCAGAGACATTGAATTGCATGTGTGTGCTACAGGCCTTTTAAATATACTCTTTTCTTGATAAGTACAATGTCGTATAGGTTCGAAAATGCAGCTGATAGAAATCGATTTCAAAACGTGGTTGTGCATGGGAGAAAGTGTATTGAAAAAGTGGGGTGTAAGACCGTGTATAAATACATATACCATTATTAATAATTAGCTCGAATAATCGACAATAAATGGGGAAGAAAGTTTCTTTAAGTGGCGACCCCGTACGAGTAAACGCGAACGACCCCTTCTCACTATATGGAGTGACAACCTCAAATGCAGCGCACATGCAGGAAGTCAGTGGATGCAGGTGGCTCAAGACCGTTTTCTATGGCAGTCTACGGAGAAGGCCTATGTTCAGCAGATGAGGGATAATGGCTGAGATGATGATGATGATGATGATATTATAAATGAATAATCGTAATACATTGTGTTAAATAGTTTTATTCAACTTAATATAAACACAGGCCACTAAACTACAACATGTAATTCCATAGGTACATTACAGTTACCTTACAAATAACTTTTTATACATATAATTATATAAATCCTCAAACATTTGTCAGTTTTGCATGTTCCAAGGTTTAATGGTTACGAATGGTTAACAACACATTTATTTATTTATTATTTAATACAGGACATGTGTACAGGCAGACTTAATGCTAAAAGCATTCTCTCTCAGACAAAGCGCTACGTTTTTTAAAAGGTCATATTGGAACGTCAACCTCAGTAATAATTAAAAATAAAAAAAAGAATATAAAAATTCGATATTTAAACTACAATCTGTGTGTTGATGAGACTGTACAATATATTACTCTTTGTCATCGCGATAACCCTTAACAGGTAGCGGGGAACAAACGGTAAAGCCACGCCCAAACGGCCCAAGGTCAAGGATAAATGAAGCACCGTAAGTGTCAGAATACATTTGTCTTTAAAGGGAGAAATTATTTTATTATTTATTATATTTAGTATTTTTTGTCAGTTTTTTTGTCGTGTAGACATAATAATTTTATTGCTTCAAACACAGACGAATTAATATGATTTTAATTCAAACTCTTAAATTTCATTAAATACCCCATAAATTGTATTAATAAACTCCCATTGGATTGAGCTGTATATGAAAGTAAAAATTTTAAAATTTGGTTATTTTAAATTTCACAAATGCACAAGTAGAGCTAGCATAAATAAATGTTCTCTAATGTAATTTCCATTATATTTAATATTGTATTTATGTGTTGCAGACATTTAATAATATACAATTAATATACTTGTAATAATATCCTTTAATGTATTTTAATCATTATTATTCTATAATAAAATAAATTAATTTTCTTAGAATATGATAAAACAAATACTCTTAAATTTGGTCACTTTGTGTTATGAGAAATAAAAAATATTAAATTATGAGTTTTAATTTTGGTATAAATGTATATATTTTGTAAAGTATATAAATGTACTTAGCTCTTGCAATTAAATATAAACCTAAAATATTATCACCAAAGTCTAACTGCGGTTGTCAACCTGCCTATCAAGCTATTACTGGCAAAACTCCCCTTATGGGGTAAGCAGCAGACAGTTATATGATGTGGTAATAAAAACATTGACACATAATCACAGATCAAATAAACATAAAGGTATTTTATATAATAATATTAAAATAATTATCGGATTATACTGTTTAAAATCTATTCTAGTACAACACAGGTATCTTACCGAATATATCTAAGTATTAGACAAAATTCCATTGATTAATAAAGTAACCGATATTAATTATTAAAATTGACGTTTCCTCAGCCATAAATATTTGACATGAGTACAACAATGGAACGTTGCCTAATTAAAAGCAATTTGTTAATTGAAACATTTTTATAATCTCTAATATTAACTTCTTTAAATATATCTAGTCATAAGCTTTCATTTTGTATTTTAACCTATATAATTAACTGAAAATAGACATGTTTAATTTAAAGCCAAAAATATATCTATTTAAAGAACTAAAACTGCTTTAGAAATTAACTTTAAATCAAGTAGCTGTTCATGGTCTAAGGTTTACACAAAATGACGTTTTGTATATATTCATATTTTTTGCATAAACTTACAAAGTGATTTGTTATATTAATTTGACATCTTACAAATTATACACAAGTTTTTATTTAAAAGCTTATTTTTTTTTATAATAATTTGCAGTAGATACACTTTACAGTGTGGACGAATTACGATACTTCTTTATGTGATAAAGTGAAATTATTTACAATGTTACAGTAAGTATATATATTTACAACTATGTATTTGTAAGCTTACGATATTACGTTACGCTATATTATATATATCATGGTATAGATAGGTATGTATATTTATCAGCGAAGGTAAGTTTTTAGCGTTATTTCGTACTGCCTAAAGTTAGTTACCAAGAGAGATATTGTCTACACAATTGACAATTTATATGTACTAATTATACATTATATAATTATATATCCTATTTGAAAGCTGTGTTACCTATTGTTTGAGTAGAGTATACATTTAATATTACTTAGTTAAAATAACTGTTTGATAAATAAATTTAAGTGTAATTTTCACAATTATTTATGTTGGATATTCATTATTATCTAATAATGAAATCTAAATTAATGACATTAAAATAATGGTTAAAATGGTTAAATTTTAAATGTCAACAAAGGGCATTTAAAATACATAATTTAACTATTGTGGTTAGAGTAATGAAATACAACTGTGGATGATTCACACACATTTGGAGTTGGATATTAAAGGCTCGCAGCGTATTTGTAATATAGTTATCAAAGTTTGTGGTTATGAGTGGATAGGTAGATCAAAATGTATTAATCAAGTTGGAAATATATTACTAAACATTTTATTATATGTTACCAAACATATAGTAAAATAATATCTAGTTAAAAGACTTCAAACATAATACTTCTCTTTTTGAGTTGAAAGCTAAAACAACAAAAGGTAGACGTATACAATGTACTATATTTTTTTTAAATAAATTTTATTATATTGTAGAGTGAAATTTAAGTGGTAATACATAAATCAGAATGATATAATAATTTCACGAAAGTATCTCTTCGTGAAATATTATATATATAAAAATTCTATTTATTTATATAAGTAGTAGTATATATTACACTAACTACATAATATTCTCACAGTAGCAACTGTTTGTTACTATCTTCATGTTCATAATTCTTGTTGTATTTATTTTATTTCAAAATCTTTAAAAATCTTATTTTGTTTAATAAGCCGAGTTCTATGTCTAAGTTTTTATAACACATTTATTTCTCAACATTATATTCTATGTACAATAGACGTCAGTTCAGGAGATGTAGAGTGAAATAGGGTTAAATACTCGAGAAGAATTGTTGTTGTCGTAGTATTTAGATATAACGATGCATATGCAAAATAAAGAAATACTCCATTATTCATCATATACTTTTAACTGTATAATATAACCATCGGTTAAATACTATAGTAGTACTAATACTATAGTTATAATAATACTGTGGTATCTAACCAATATGTGTGATGACATCTAACCTTTAATATATGGGCGGAAGGGATTGTTAATAATAGGGAGGTTAGTCCCCATTGCTATCATTATACCCTTTCAGGTCGACCTCCACGCGGTTCCCCCTGGAAGCCATTATGACTAATTTCTTGTTGAATTCGTCACGATAGGCTAACTCACCTGTCTTTCCATTCTCACCAATTAACCCTCATTGGTGTCCCGCCAGTGTATACTAATAGCACAGACGAGTTACCATTTCATAATCATCCTTTAACCAAAATCCTTTATTATAATGGTTCTCAAAATATTTTCTTTATATAGGAGGTATATTTTAGTTTTATTCTTGCATTAAAATTAAACATTTAAAATAATATAAATGAATTACTACATACATGTCGCGGTTATTCCAATTTTACATCATTAATTTTGACCAACACACCAGCTTGCAAATAGATAAAAACAATATTGTTTCAAATTCAAAATTGCCTTCGCAGCTGATGCACAGATGATGTCAGAGAATACCAAATTTACTGCCCATCTATTATTTCACTGGCGACCAATGTTGTGAGACTGTGTGAAACTTTGTAAAATTACATTGCAAGTCTAGATAATTTGTCTATCACTGTTAGATCTCGAATATTATTTAATATTAAGGATTTATAATCATGCTTATCAATATTGAAAATTTGTTATTTGTTAGCGTCTTAACTAAGCTATAAAATTTTATATATAGATACTATATAGGATGGAAAAGGACATACGTCGTAACCTTAGGTCCTTGTATGTACTAATAGTAGTTTTATTCCGGTCAATAAAAATATCCTGGTCACACAGACGAACTCGCAAACTGTTACCATTACAGTCTGATAAGTCTAAAGCTCCCGTTATTAAAGATTCATAAAGATTAAATTCGGATCTACAGATACCTGATACAAATAAATAAAATGCCTATATCTTTAGTAACACAAGTAATGTAATATATTTGGTAATTAATAAAATTTAAAACAAACCATAAAAGAGTAAAGAAAGGTAGTCACTCGATCTGGCTCGATATATATATATATATATATATATATATATATATATATATATATATATATATATATATATATATATATATATAATAAGGTTATTGTGGACATATACGGCGATTAAAATCTGAGTAGACGAGCTCGGACTTTTTACCATTTTACTGGAAAATATTAGAATTTATCAGTTTGAGCTTTGACAGTATTTATGTAGATATTCATATACGTTTTACTTCTTTTTCATGTTTTAATTTACATCACTGAAGCCTTTTTTCTCTTGTATGTAAATATTATATTCAATTTGTATTGACAGCATTTTATAATCTACAATTTACAGTGAATAATTTCTACATTATTTTATTTAATAATTCGTCAATCTATTTATTATTAGGCGTACATTTAGCCATTTGTCATTTAAACGCATTAAGCTGACTATGATGTTATAATAAATGACATTTTATTAATAAAATATCATTGCATAATGACAAATGGTCACATTATTAAATTGTTATTATTATTATTTCTTGATTAAATAAATACTATTTGACATAAAGTTTTTTCTTTTGTAATTTGTACACATTTTATAATATAAATTATTTAATTCGGTGATAGCATCGCTAAATCTTCAGCACTACGGTATCTTACACTGTGATCTCTCGGCCATTGAGTAGCTGGAAATAAGGAAAATATTAAAAACGTTGCACATGAAATGTTGAATTATATGTAATTAGATTTAACCTTGTATATTCCAGAAAAAAAATCAACATTCATACATTAAAGTGAATATAATAAATAAGTCATACTAAGCTATACTAATTACAACTTATTACTTTAAAGCTTTTTTCAAAAGAACAAGGTTCTGAATCCTTACAAATATTATAAATGTGAAAGTGAGTTGGTGGTTACCTTAGAACGCCTTACCGGCTTAAGCAATCATTACGAAATTTGGTATACATGTATTATATGGGATGAAGAAGGATATAGGCTACTTTTTATCCTGGTCAGTAAACATATCCCGGTCACGTCGATAAACTCTTGTATAAAAGCTAGTGGTCTATATTTTCTTGAATGTATATTATGTAATTACATCGCCAATTCTGAATCGATTTTAATGAAACTATTTGCAATTAATAGAGTTTACTCCTGAGTTGGTCACGTATTAATTTTATCCCAATTGGAACTGATTATTTCTGTATGAAATAATGTCTTACTTGTCATGAAGAAACAAGTACTAAAACTACAAAATAAGTACTAAACAACTACTTATAAACACAGTTTGTGTAAAACTACAATAACGCAGTATAGGCAGAATAAATGCATTACAATATTCTATTTTATTACAAATAGTAATAACTAAAAAAATATAGTATATTTAAATTTATTATATTTGGGCTGTTATTTAAACGGATTCAATCGGATTTAGTTTGGAGATGGTACAGTTGAGGTTGTTAAGCGTATGGATAGAAGGCTCTTAAACTTATTTATTTAAACATCTTCTGAAAAATTTCCCAGACAAATAAAAATTTAAAAGAAGGGAAAAATGTTATTCAATATATTTGAAAATTCTATGAAGTTCTATATGGAGTATTATATGATAAATCTTAAACAATATAATAGAAAATAAAAAAAATTACAAGTATCCTAAAATAATTTTATGTATAATTTTATTATAAAAACTTAAAACCTCCATATTTCATAATTAATACGTAAAATAATTTTTAAAGTGCCATTTTTAATCAACATATCCTAATGCTGAGTATTTTTATGTGTTATTTTCTCATGAGTATATATAACTTTATATAGTTTCCATATTTTGTTACAGAACTGAACAGAAAATTTCTCAGAGCGTTATCGTTAATTTATATATATATATATATATATATATATATATATATATATATATATATATATATATATATATATATATAATTCTTTATAAGGTACAATAAAGAGTCTTTATTCATTCATTTATGTAATACAAACATTTAAATGTAAAAAAAATCTTTAAAATTGACACTTTGACTGGAATAAATAAAACTATTAAGAAGACAAGCTTTTAAATAAATTGAAAAAGACTTTAGTAAAAAGTGTTTAAAATTCAGATTCGGTCTCCTTTTAAATCCCTTAGACAGCAGCCCTAAGTACAATACACGAACTAAGCTCAAACACTACAACACTAAGCTTATTGAAGCGAGAAACGTGCTGTGTTTGTACCTATTTCTTGTGGCATTTCTGTGGTGTCTTTCGTTTGCATGCAATACTTTTTTTCGAGCGTGCTTTTCGAGAATAACGTGCTGAAATAAATCTTAAATTTAATTTCATTGACTATTAATAAACAGTTACTAAAATACTTTCCATACAAGTATAGATTAATAACATTTAGATAGATACCCCTCTAGAAATGCTTCGAGGTAAAAAGCTATACTTTTTAATGGACTGACAAAGTCACTCCATAAGGGTTCTTTTATATAAAGGGGAAATAACAACATGTATCATTCTTCTTCTACAGTACATATAAATTAAAAATAGTATATATTTAAAAAAAATATATTAATCTGACTTTATATAGCATATTACTATTCATGTTTATTCACACATAATAGGAAAATAGTTTTTTATATTGTAGGAATACAAGATGAAGCATCTGGATATATATGATCTATACAAAATATGTTATTCTTTTTTTAATTTTCTTACGAAATAAATATTTTATTTAAGTTTCACCCATATCAAACATAGATATATAAAAATACCCTATACCTATGTTAATGGAGGTACTGTAACATAAATCATGCAATGTAATCATGCTATTTAAATATTCTATTCAATTTAATTATATGCACTAAGTAGTGAATTTACAGGGTACAGAGGAATAACACCAGAGTACTCAGGAATGGCAACGCATGTGGGTATCATGGCAAAACAGTATACTCTGCTATGTCCATGGTACTGCTCATGTCTATAGGTGACGGTTACCACTTTCTATCAGGTGGTCCGTTGCCCATGGAAAGTGGTAACCGTCGCCTGACAAGATTGATTATGATCGACAAGCTGACGAACTTATTTGCCATTCTAAGTTGCTTAAAAAAAAGTTAAAATAAACCAATGTTTTCACATCCACGACTATTCTGGAAATTTAATTAATAACTAATAAAAATTTATAAAGTCAAAAAATATTTCTTAATAATCAGTTCTGAAGTGTATGTATGTAAATAACAATCAAACATATCCATATATGGATACTATATTAAATATACAATTATTAAGTGCACGTGCTTACATTCTTTTAGTTGAAATGTGATACACTAACAATAACTTTCATATGAAAAAGTGCGTTAATAAAGTTACATGCAATAAATTGTTAGTATTCAAAAAATTAATAACGGTCCTTTCAAATAAAGAAGTTTTGGGTTTAGATGGATATCGTGCACAGAGAGAACAAAGGAAAGATACCTATGAAGAGATTCGTAGTACAGTTATATATATATGCGTTTAATATATTATAAAAAAATTACCTGTATAATGCATGTTTCGATACATATCAGGACAATTGCTTGAAACCTAAAACAAAACAAAAAATAGGATAATAACATAGTCTATAAGTGACATAGACAGAATATTTGATCCTTGACTTTACTGAAACAGAATTGTATTTAATTTTTTTTTATAGATATTTCCACAAAACATATCCACTAGTCCTTTAACTAAGATACCTTGTGTTATGAGGAACTAGACAATGTAAATCTGGAAGCGCAGCCTAGAACACCTAGAGTCGAGACAATTCATTTTCTAAATTGATCCGACCGAGAATCGAACACGGGACCTCTTTATGTAAAGCAATATGCCTATCGCTGTACCACTGATCAACATTCGTCTTAATATGATTGACAGCTTAATCAATATTTGAAGCAACGTTAGTCTAGTAAATCATTGGCTACAATAATAGTCCAACTAAACAACCAACAACCAAATACACAAATAGGGCTGTGCCGTAGAATAATTTTCATTTAATTAATTTGAATTTATATTTATAACTATTTTTTCTGTCTTCGTATGCGTGGATTTAGAAAGCTTAAGAAACTATTAATACTAAGTCACTTTTATATATGAAAATTAAAAAGTATTCTATAATAAAATACAATATTTTTGTAAAATACCCTGTGTGTCAAAATAAAACAAGAAAAAAAATCCATGGATATTGGAGATGTAACACCTATGACGTCTCCTACATTTGCATTGTCATCCAGGTTTATAAATTAAGATGATGCCTCTATACCGAGAAATTTCATGTTCTTATATAAACAATATTTTAAAGAACAATGTTGTGGCGACCCTAGACAGCCGTGTTCTCTAGAGATCGTGCCCGAAACCACAGTGCACCCGTATCAAATTAATTAACACAGACGACAGCAAACGTAAATTATATTTTACGCCTCGACTCGAACAAGCCTCGTCTTAGGGCGGATTTGTTGACAATTTATCGTCCACAGTCTGATGCACTTATAGTGTTAGGTTTGGTAATAATTATCCTTATCTACAATGTATTGTAGAAACCAAATAGCAATTACTGTTTTATTATGATTTTGTTCTCATGAACAAATTGTATTTACCACGCCGTAGCCTATGGATTGCGAAAAACAGATAAAAAATTTTAATTTGATAAGTTTTTACTCCATTGTTAATCACATAATAATTTTGTTACATTTACGCAACAAACTATATGTTATAGTTAAATTCCTATAGTATATGTCATTATAATAAATTCCAATTTTTCTAATAAACAATTGATATTTTTGTAACAACCCTTTGATATTGTAATCATTTAATTACATATTACTATTTATTATAAAAATGGAGGTGGCAATGGAGTGGATGGTAAAATATGGAGGAGTAATTACCTAATATGGTGCATACCTGTGAAACTCATATTTGAGCAAATAAACTATTATTTAATTAAAAAAAAACATATTGATCGATATATTATATTAAAAGGTTTTTGTAAATCTTATCATTTAACGGTACTTTAGTGTAAAACTATTCACAAACAAATAAACACATTATGTAAATTTTAAAATTAGATTTTGAAATATTATTCGACTTACGAGTATATTTACAACTTACCTTCAAGAGAATGGTACCTACAACTATACGCATTAAAATAACACAATAGAAAACATGTCCAAAGTTTGTTTACTACTCGTTTATTGTAACATTCAAGTTGCAGTTGCCTTTGATAACGCTTAATATAGTTTTTATTGTGTTTCCGTCTGTTGTACGCTAAGTTTAGTCATTACACTGTTCTCGCGTTATCTGTTATTTATTAAGGTCTGTTAATATTTATGTTTTATGTTATTCCCTTCTTTAAATGGTATATTTTTATAATTGGCTGTGTAGTTCCGACATAGAATAGGCCACCCCTTTCTCTCCAATGGGTGTCGTAAGAGGCGACTAAGAGAATTTTATGATAGAGGGATAGGCAGCAGCGACCCTCTTAAAATATCTCTAAAAGCCTAACTGCGGTTGCCTACTCGCCTGCCAAGCTTGGCAACTATTGGTAAAACTCATGGGGAAGGGTATGTTCAGCAGTGGACAGTTATCGGCTGAAATGAATAAATGTTATAATTAATGCAGCGATGAAATAAATATACATGAATTTAAATAAGATATTATTTAAAAAAAGAACTAATTTATAATCATAATTTATAATTTTATAATCACCAGAACTTTTGATTTAGGGTGATTATGAGGATTATTAATGATCCCACGCTCATAAAAGAAATCAAACTTTCGATAAAGTTAGACTAAAAGAATAAGGGCTATGCTGCGCCAGAACCAATATCTGATCTAGTTCTAATTATATATTTTAATCTTAATTATTCTTAATTATATTATTTTTATAACTTATTATAAAAATACATGTTAAAATTGTTATTGATATATTTGTTTTCTTTTTTTTTTATTGTTAAGTTTATGTATGTGTATGTGTGTATGTGTTTGAGTTTGTGTGTGTGTGTGTGTGTGTGTGTGTGTGTGTGTGTGTGTGTGTGTGTGTGTATACGCACATATTTGTGTGTGTGTGTGTGTGTGTGTATATGTATATACCATTATATATATTTTTATGTTCATCAATATCATATATAATATCAATAATCAGCTGCTCTCGATTATTTGGTTTAGTTTATTGTGGAAACTTTACTGATTTATGTTATGGTTGTGTATACTATTTTATATGTTTTAGATATTGGATGTTTCCCTTTCAAAGTAAAATAAAATAAAAAAATAAAATAAAACTTATGTTAATTTTTTAACATAACTATTTATAACGGAAAATTTCATGTTTGTCGTTTATTTGTGAGTTAGAGCCCGCAGTGCGAGGCGAGACGCTGTGACGCAAAGCGCCAAACGTCCCTTGAAGGAGACTTCCAAGTGAAGTAAAGTCGATTGCTTGGGTACCTCTGTCCCATTCGTGTTTCAACAATGAAGCAGTTGTGTTTGCATGGCTGTGTTTCGGTTTGAAAGGTAGGATATGGGGTGAATTTACTGGGTACAGAGGAATAACACCTGAGTCCTCAGGAATGGCAACGCATGGGGGGTATCATGGGCGAAACAGTATACTCTGTTATGTCCATGATACTGCTCATGTCTATAGGCGACGGTTCCACTTTCCATCAGGTGGGCCGTCAGCTTGTTTGCCATTTTAAGTTGTATCAAAAAAAAAGTAAAAACAATTGTCGGACTCAACAAATGTAGTAAGTTTATAAAATTTTCCGTTATAGGTATATACGAGTATATCTAGAAAACTTAGTTATAAAACTAGAAAAAAAGAATATAGAAAAAAAAGAAAAGAGAAAAAAATACCCGAGAGCGCTGAACAAGACTTATGAAATTGAATAAGGTTGTTCGAGAATAAAAGAACATAGAATACAGAATAAAAGCTAGAATAAAATATAAAACTAACTTGGTTAATATTGAAAGAACGTAGAACAAGACAAAATATCTTAAAGTTCTAATATATTTTTGTTTCTGTTTAGTGTGATTTTAATCAGTTAGTATGAATCAATAAAGTTCAATGGGTGAGAGTAATAACATGTCATAGAATAGGTAAAAAATATTACCTGAACTCCTTGCTTGTTAAAGTTGATGTTCGTTCTAACCGTACGGTGATGTAGAGGCTGCACTGGTCTTGCGTTATTGCCTAACGGCGCTTTTGGGGTCAGCTGGGACCCTTGCATTAGCCTCCGTAATTGATACATCTGACATATAAAAATTGAAACTTTATTGTATACATTGAGGCCTTAAAAATATTTATAATATTTGAGACATTAAAAATGTTTTTTTCGATTATTTTGTTTGAATTGTTTAGATTGCCTTTTAAACCGACTTCAAAAAGAAAGAAGTTCCCAATTTAGTCGTATTTTTTTATGTTTATTACCTCATAACTCCGTTAGTTGTAAACCGATCGGAATTCTTTTTTAATTTGAAAGAATGTATTTACAGATTGTTCTCATAGAAATTTTATCAAAATCTGTTCAGTAGTTTAGTTTTTAAATCAAAACAACTAGTTTTGCCACAATTGAAGTTGGTTTTTTTTAATTATATCTTATTTTGTTTGAGATTAAGAATTTTTGTTTGAAAATACAGTACTTTTGACATATCGTAGCTATTACTGTTAAGTGTTCCCATTTACACTATGGAAAGTTATGAGGTATACGGATTCGAGTCCTGGAAGAAGGTAAACTTTTTCATCAATTTTAAGAACAGCAATACACCAATATAGTATATAGTATAGTATAAAGATGGCAACTATAAAACGGAAAAAGTTTATTGATTCGAAAATAAGATGATTCAAATTCTTCGATGGTTCTTACAAATTTATGCTCTATAAAAAAATCTCCTATATATAATAAAAAGTAAAAAAAGTGTTTAATCTCATACATTTTTAATGAATGAGATGATTTATTTTTTGTTTTATTACCTCTTGTTTAGAAATATAAATGGGCTTGTTAAAGATGATCCAGACAGCTGTCTCCCAACAGCCAGGATGTGTAGTGGACCCTTCATAGGTGAGGTACTGTTGAGTGTTGGGCAGAAGTGAACTCAGAGGTAGATGCTTGATCGGGTACGAATTGCCTGATTGACAAACAGATTGCATGTCATGTATGAGTACATATAAGAATTTTCCACTGAGGTAGACAGAAACAAGAGAATGATAAATATTCTTATTGTAATTGAGTTAATTTTTCCCTATATCTCTATTTGTTCATATAAATTTTCGAGTTACAATTTTAACTTGGCCGTTTTTTAGCATGTCACCTATTTTGGCCAATGTAAGCCCCTTTATTATAACATTATTATATGTTATATCAAATGTTATATTATGCCTATATACATATATATATATATATATAAGTCGCATTAATTGCATATAAAAAGATTTGGAACTTACCTCTATAAGTAACTTTAGGAAATGCATTAGTTATAATTCTTAACTCCTTATTCGTGGGTTCACCGATCTGAAAATAATAATTTACCATTAAATTTAAGCTGGAAAATACTTGCAATTTATTATGACCCATAGGCCATAAAATAATATAAATATAATAATAATAAAAAAAAAACACAATTACCCAAAATATTGTTGAAAATAATAAGCTCAGTTGGATGAATAATAAAAATGTATGTATTATGTGAAGTTTAGAAGAGAATAGCAAACTGTCATAAATTATTATATTGTTATATTTTTGTATTTAATATTTTGATTATAGAACATTAATAAAAACGACTATAGAGTTTTTACAACATATCCTCCCGTAATCAAAATATATATATAACAAAAATATTACTTAACAAAAATACTAGTACAAAAATAACAAGATAAAAGGTTACCCAATGCCCATATTCGTCATACATCGTAAATGCTTAACATGACCTAAAGGTTTTGTCAAAACATCCGCTGGTAGTGAATCAGTGGGCATATACCTTAATTCTATAATTTTGTCATTTACTTTTTCTCTAATAAAATGAAACTTTACGTCTATATGTTTAGTTCTATTGTGATGGACTGGATTCAACGCAAGTTTCTGGGCACTCTGACTATCAGAAAAAATGACAACATTTAGAGTTTTACCTGTTATTTCTGCCACAAAACGTTTTAAGAAACAACCTTCCTTAGCAGCTGCTGATAGCGCCATGTATTCGGATTCCGCAGAGGACAATGCGACTGTAGGCTGTTTTCTTGATTCCCAAGAAATAGGGCCTTTTGCAAGTTCGAAGTAAAATCCTGTATATGAGCGACGACTAACAGGACAGTTTGCGAAGTCAGCATCTGAGTAACCACGCAGTATAGAGGAGTCTTCATTCTTTCTGTACGAAATACCAACATGCTTAGTTGCACTTAAATATCGAAGACATCGCTTAGCAGCATTCCAATGTGATTGATCATTGTTAGAGTTAAATTGGCTTAAGTAACTCACTGCGTAAGCTATATCAGGCCTTGTATTTACTGCCAAATACATAAGGCAGCCAATTAATGCCTGATTAGGTTCCAGTTTCTTTTGAGCAAGGGGTGTTGAAACCGATTTACAGTTTTCCATTTCAAACCTTTTTAACAAACTTTCAATATACGTACTTTGACATATTTTAATAATATTCTCTCGGCAAGATATATTTATGCCTATGAAATAATTAATAATACCAAGATCTTTAAGTGAAAAATAATTTTCCAACTCACATTTGAAGTTGTCAAATGTTACTTCATTTTTATACATAATTAAAAGATCATCAACATATATGGCTATAACCAAGGAGTCTGTATTCGAAATATTTTTAGTAAACACGCAAGGTTCTGATGGTGTTTGAGTGAATCCAATAGTTGACAAAGTTTGTTTTAACTTTATATTCCAAGCTCTCGGAGCTTGTTTCAAACCATATAAGGCCTTTTTCAATAAGCATACCTTATTTTCATCTTCCTTTCTCTGGACAAACCCTTCTGGCTGATCCATATAGACTTCTTCTTCCAAATCACCATATAAAAAGGCAGTATCTACATCCATATGACGTATTTTGTATCCTTCCTGTACTGCTAGTGCTAACAGCGTTCGCAACGATGAGGAGCGTACAACGGGAGAAAAAGTCGCATAATAGTCTACACCTTCTATTTGTGTAAAACCTTTAGCTACTAAACGAGCTTTATATTTGACTATATTTCCTTCAGCATCTCTTTTCAATTTGTAAACCCACTTAGATGGAATACAAGATTTAAAGCTTGGTTTTTCCACCAATACCCAAGTTTTCCTCTTTAATAAAGCATCATACTCATTATTCATCGCAGTGATCCAGTAATTTTTATCATCTCTTGTAATTGCGTCACGATAAGTCAAAGGATCACCGCACAGCGGATCATCGCTTAGAGTATTATAAGAAAAATAGTTTGGAGGTTTACGTATTCTTTCAGGGTACCTTCTTTCAGATCTATCATCATTGGAGTTACTTGAAGTACCCGATGACGGAGATGAAGAATTAATTATATTACCTGAATGCACAGTCTCTATTTCTTGATTGCATACCTCTTCAGTACTGAGTGAATTGTCATCTTGTTCCTCAATTGCTATATCACCACCTCCGCCAATTGAAGGAGAAGATAATGAAGCTTCTTCTGAGGATGAGGTCTTTGAAAATAAGTAACTTGTATCACAGTTTACATCGTCTGCCTTTTCAATTGTTAGTCCTGTAAATTTATCTTCAAAAAAAGTTACATCTCTTGATTTTACTAACTTTCTAGGTGTTTTTGCACTTCGGAAGTAGTAACTTCTAGGATCATCTGAATATCCTATAAAGATATGCTCAGTTGCTTTCATATCTAGCTTAGTTCTTTGGCAAGAAGGAACATGAACTAAAGCTCTGCATCCGAAGACTTTAAGATGAGATAAGTTAGGTTTAGATCCGTACCACATCTCAAAAGGAGTTTTCTTATTAAGAGCACGATGTGGCGACCTATTTTTCAAATAAACACTAGTCGCTACAGCATCTTGCCAATAAGCTTTCGCAAGTGAACAATGAGACAACATGCAACGGGCTTTCTCCATAATGCTACGATTGCATCGTTCACTCACTCCATTTTGCTGAGGGCTATAGGGCATCGTAGTTTGGTGCTTGATACCATTTGAAGCCAAATAATCAGCAAATTCATTGTTGACGTACTCAGATCCATTATCAGATCGCACTATTTTTATTTTTGAGCCAGTTTCACGTTCAACAAGAGATTGAAAAATAGAGAACTTTGATTTGACTTCTGTCTTAGAAGACATAAAATAAATAAATATAAACCTGGTAAAATCATCTATAAAAGTAATAAAGTATTTATTACCTTGAAAAGAGGTTGTTGGTAATGGTCCACATAAATCTGTGTGAATTAATTCTAGAACTGACGTAGCTTTCTTACTTTTCAACCGTTTAAAAGGTTTTCTTGCTTGCTTACCCTCCACGCAGGGTATGCATGGTTCCTTGTCAACCTTCTTGTACTCCACTCCAACTGCTAGACCTTTTTTAAGTAGATCCATACCTATGCGACAGAGATGTCCTAATCTCTTATGCCAAATTTTAAAATTTGAGAGTTCAGAGTGCACATTATAGGCTGAAACATTTTGTGGCAAGTTAATAGAACAATCTAAATTATACATTCCACCACTAAAAGAACCGTGCAAAATAGGGTTATTAGCAAAAGATACATCACAAGATTTATAAAAGTTACAACCATTTTTATCAAAAACAACAGAAAAATCTTTTTCAACAACTTTCTTTACGGAAAGTAAATTACATTTTAAACTAGGAACATAAATAACATTATTTATTTTTGATACTACAGAGTTGGTATTAATTGATACCTCACCAATACCCATAGCTGGCAATTTTTGTCCGTTTGCTACAGTTATACTTCCACTATCTATAGAACGATAATTTTTTAGCCATTCACCGTGTGAAGTCATATGTCCCGATGCTCCAGAGTCGATTATCCATTTATCGGAGTTCTGGTTATTTAGGGATGACATAGCCACTTCAGACAAGCAATCTGTTGTATCTTCTACGTTTTGTTCAATTTTCGACATATTTACCTTTTTTACCTTTTTAATAGGGCAATTAGGGCTCTTATGTCCAGGTTTTCTACATTTAAAACATATAATAGGTTTCTTCGTCTTCGCTTTTAATTGTGAAGTACGAAACGCTGCAACATCATCATTCTGAGCCATCTTTGACATTTCACTCAATAACTTCGTCTTAACCATTTCTGATGTTACTTCGAGGTTTGAATGTTCTAGAGCCATTACCAGTGGATCATAACGAGATGTTAGTCCACCTAATAAAATCGCAGCAAGAGAGCTATCTTCGATTTTTTTGCCAATATCTGCCAAATTCTGGGCAGTTGTCATGACTGCATTAATGTACGACTCAATATCGGTAAAATCTGATAGGGAGTACCTGTACAGCTGTCGCTCCAATGACAACTTCCGACCAAGACTTTGGTCTTCATATGCCTTTTGTAATGCATACCATGCCTCTTTCGCTGACGTTGCTGTCCTCACATGCGTCATTGCCGCACCATCCACAGAAAGACAAATTTTGGATAATGCTTTCTGGTCATTACGTGCTTTTACATGGGAAGGTGTATCGTCAGACGATTCATAACCACCTATTGTATTCCACAACTCTTCGTGCACCAACAGCATTCTCATTTTGAATTTCCATGCTGTATAATCTTCACGTTTCACCAACATTTTTATACAATTCGAATTCATCCCAGCCATTATGAATTAGTAGAATTTCTTTTAAATAAATTCCTTACTTCGTGCTGATAACGAATGTTGAAAATAATAAGCTCAGTTGGATGAATAATAAAAATGTATGTATTATGTGAAGTTTAGAAGAGAATAGTAAACTGTCATAAATTATTATATTGTTATATTTTTGTATTTAATATTTTGATTATAGAACATTAATAAAAACGACTATAGAGTTTTTACAACAAATATTTTTAACAGATTGAGATGGATCTTGATAGATAGATAGATAGATAGATAGATAGAAATAATCTTTAATAAAATACGCTTCCTTACAAGCTCTTTTAAATCGTCACTTTTTTACTGTCCTGTCACTGGGTTCGAAATGTTATTCTTTCAGTCGTTATGATGAAAGAATCTGCAAGAAACTCAGCTGTGATTCTTTTTAAATAATTTTACATAAATTATTTTATACTAGATAGCCACTTATCGTGCCATTGTACCTATCTTAAATTTATTGTAAAATATCTTGTAAAATATACAACGGTAAACTTTCCAGACAGGACAACACGTTGTTAAATTATAGCAATCTATTGATATCATAATACTGGAAATAACGTCACAATATTCTCCATTTATAATAATAATAATCTTTATTATAATAGGCTATAATGGCCTAATTTGTTAGTAACATAATCTTAGTATAATGTTAGTACATCTTAGAATAAATAAATAAAAGAAACAATAAATAAATTTGGTCACCGTTGAAGCATCCCATTTGAGATACGACAGCAGTGACCAATGTAAGGGCAGTATAACCTACTTGCAATCATATTCAGGATGCTGTTGGTAGTGCTCCGCACCCTATGCACCAGTGACGCGCATATTTTACGCATTGTGGCATAAAAGCAATCTATGCGGGCTTCTGCAAAATTTGTGATGCACTACAATATCGTGGTAACCCCAACAGTACCTTGAATGCCTTATTATATTGAATACGAAGGTCGCTACAGGATTTCTGAAGAGGGTATTCATCTGCTAACTCCCTCTGGCTAGACTGTTCTGTACAGCGTTTTATTTCTAGTCTTTTTTCACGTGTAGTACGAGCCCAAACTACCTTTGCAACGTTATAGAGATAATAAAAAAATAGAGATTACTCCATCATCATACTTCTAGAACTTCAGCATTTACGCTATAATTCCTTCCATTCAAATTTGTTAACTACAGTTTTACAGAGAATGGATGTACATTCTTTGTATACTTAGGTTTCAACCCTTTAATATTTTGTTAAACATAAAAATTGGTCTTTAAGGTCTCGTGTTCTAATAATGTATTTCAAATTGTATTGCGTGACCATCTTCGTCGACAATGGTGGACAGTTTACTGTGTGTAAATGAGGTTCCGGGTTCGATTCCCTGTCGAGTCAATTAAGGAAGCGAACATGAATTAGTTTGAGTCTAGGTGTTTTGTGTTGTGCTTATAGGTGTTCGTTGCCCAGTTGCTCATAATCAGGGTATCCTAGTTGGAGGTCCAGGTGGTGGTGAGGCACTTATTATTCTTACTTTATATTTAAGAGTTTCCTCTTGTCGATGCAGCTAATCAGGCATTCTCTTCCAGCCAACTCTACTCCAGGTCATATCTTTGATCTCTCTATACCACATGACATCTTATTATTATATTATTTTTAAAAAAAGCAGATACGTAAAATACTTACTTGGACCATAAGTGAGATCCCGACAACGCCTTGTGACTTGTGTTGCGCCTCAGACATGTTGTGATAAAGTTCCTTGTTGAACCCATATAACTGGATCTGTAAACAAGAGTGTTTTATACAATAACTATACCCTTGTTATGTACCGTAACCTTCGTCTACAACGAAGGCGACTTAGAAACTTTAAATACCTGGAGGCCTATATAAATTGCAATCGATTTCAATTAATCTTATACCAAATTTATACAGACTAAACCGTGAGTCTCAGATGCAGAAAACACCCAACTGGCTTCGAGCCCTTTTTCTCAATTGTCTTGGATCATAGATCAATGAAATTTTTTTTTATGCTACTTAGAATGGCAAACAAGCTGACGGCCCACGTGATGGAAAGTGGTAACCGTCGCCTATAGACACAAGCAGTAATATGGATATAATGATACCCCCCATGCGATGCCATTTCTGAGGGCTCAGGTGTTATTCCTCTGTACCCTGTAAATTCACTGCCCTTCAAACCGAAACACAGCCATGTAAACACAACTGCTTCACAGTAGAAACACGAATGGGACAGGATAAGTTTGTAGATATTTAAAAATAATAACATTGTAATTAACTGTACTCATTTTTTAAATTCGGGAATATTTGACTAGTTTCGGACTCAATAGGAACCTTATTCATGAGCGCAGTTCTGTATCTTCTACAAGACTTTTATATATGTATATCAATTATTTAAAAAGTGAGTAAAGCCGACAGATTGTTAGTAATGGGAACGTAAAGGCCTATTGCTAACAATACACCCTGTCAGGTCGACCTCCACGCGATTTCCCCTGGAAACCATAATGATTAATTCTTGTTGAATCTTGACTAATTGTTGCTTTAATTTTTATCATCTCTCACTGGTGCCCCGCCAGCATATACCGATAGCGCAGGTAGGGTTACCATTCCATGCTCATTTATTACGACTCACTATATTTACTAGTTAGTTATTCAACAATAATAATTTTGTTTCAATTAAAAAATTACATAATATTAATAAAACAATATTACTAGTACAAAATGTACTACGATTAATTCAATCAAACAAGACATTAATTCAGCCAATTAACGAAGTAGCATTAAATTTCGATAACCACTTTCTATTGATCAATACACCTAACTGTGAACTAGGAGCGTTTGTGGACCGCAACCGGCAATCACTTGATTATTATCGAACTTGAGCTATATGGTCGCTGGCGTTAAGTTTTAAAAGCATGAATTCAATTTTATTTAATATACTTGTTTTATATTTACATTTGGACAATGACGCAAAAGGAAAGAAAGATGCTTGAGGTATTCGAAATGTGAACATGGAGGAGAATAGAAAGGATAAGCTGGACAGAAAAAGTAACGAATTAGGAAGTCTTGAATGAGAAAAAAACATTAATAAAAACAATAGAGAATAGAAGAGGCAAAATGCTGGACCACATTATACGACATCACGATTTTTTAAAAAGCATAGTAGAAGAAAAATAGACGGCAATAAGTAACTGATTGCTTAACCCAAAGAAAAAAACAGGTCAAATATTACGATTTTTAGCATTTCTTACTAACACGGTAACGGTTTTGCATACGCGGTGACGGATTTCTCCTTCAAGTTTAAATTTTCAAAAATCTTAACAGATGCTTATGGTATAAAATATATCTATGTTCCAAATTTTAGTTTTCTTGACTTATTAGTTTTGACTGCGTATTGATAGTCAGTCATGACAAATAAATTTATAAGTATAGAAGATAGTTATACTGTATATAAATCAAGTATCTACTGTATGATGTTTTGATATACAATTGATTGTCCTCTCAATTTGATAATTTCTTTTGTCCATTTTATTTTGTATTGTTTTTTTTTAATTAGTTTTTATTTTGTTTAATAATCACTACTAATGTAGTGTTGATAAATTTACACTAACATAAACATGTCAATATGTCTGTGTGTATTATAAAGACAAAAGGCAAGTCAAGCGTATACACAGACAAATTAAACAATTAATTACCTAAATTGCTTTATTTAATTAAAAGACATTTCACTGTGCAAATATTTGCGGAGGTTGCTTTCAAAACGTTTGTTTTAAACAAACTTGAGCGGGGTTGAAAAGTTTGTCCTCGGGGGCACTGAGTCTTCGATAATGATATCAAAGTTTTAGGTGTTAATTTGTAATGAAGTTTTCATTGTGATCGTTTGGAAAGTTGCATTGATTCCATTGCGATTTCACACTGTGAAAAGTTGTGCCTTGTATTTTTTTTCATTTTTTATGTATGATATTACTTTAATGTATAATTTTGTAGAGAAGATATCGGTGCTCTTTATAACCGTGTGGTCCCGGCATAGAATATAAAAAAAATGAAATGAGCTGACTAAAGTTTTTATGTTCATTTGTTGTTTCTTCTGTTAAAAGTAATGTTGCAGATTTATCCTTCTCATAAACCCGTTTTAGCTATTGAAGTGTTTTGTCTCTTTCTTTGGTGCTAAATTCCTAATTTGAAAGAAAGTGACAAAACAGTGTAATAGTTAAAACAGGTTTGTAGAAGGGTTCAGTTTTCACGAATAAGGCGGTTAGTTCTCAAACTTCAGTCTACATTAATTAAAACTACAGGTAGATCAAAAGATGGCATTCTCATTTAAATTAATTCAATCATCGTGGAGTATCGGAATTTATCGGTAAATCGTAGACGGCTGCGGTGAGTGGTTTGGAATGTTAGACCATAGTTGCCGGTGGACGGTCAAGAATCGCATAGTTTGCATTACTTTGAGTGCAATCGTCTAGTTTAAGTTGAGTCGGTATATTTAACTACTTGTTACACGTGGCGAGGCAGGTATAGCTATGTCCAGTGTAAGTTATCTCCTCAGTTTGTTTTTTAATATGTCAAGCTCTATATCAGTTTTTTCTTATTATGTCAGATATAGTCTGACCAAAGATTTCTTAAAAAAATAATTGATAATTTTTTATTCTATGGAACGTGTGTTGTAATATTATAAAAATATTTTTAAGTCCATGAACAATTAAATAAAAAGTTTAGACTCGACCCAAAATGTGAACTTTTGATGATTCAAAGAAAATTATAAGACAAAAAATTCTTCGTAATTGATTTACGTTTATATTTTATTATACACTTCGAGTTAGATTTTTGGTCACCGGAATTTTAATTTGTTATTTTTTTTTTTTAATGAATAATTGGAAAACGTTCGCTACTTTTTGAATATACCTACCTCTCCAGGAAACGTGTGGTGGTCGATTTGATGCTCTGAGCCCCGATTGTCTTCCATCCCATAATGAAAGTATATTTCTTCGAATTGATATCTGTAGGAGAGAGGTCCTCCGCTTATGTTAACTTGATGTTTGGAGTCCTTCTCCACTCTGAAGACCAAGGACTGTCCAGTGTTTTGAAGTACCCCGCTGACCTTAAAAAATAGTGTCACTTAGTCATCATCTAATTTTTTTAATTTGAATCTTGCCCGGCTTGGCGCACGGGCAGATACAATTTTCAAAAATAATATAAGGCCTATATTATCGATGCTAATGTAATTTTCTGTAGGTGAAAGAATTTTTAAAATAGGTTGAGTAGTTTTTAAATTTTTTTCATTGTACAAACAATGACATCTTTCTTCTTTATAAAATATTACAGATATATTACAGATTAGTATAGATTTTAGGAACTGATACTTGTAAATTGATCTAATTATCATCGAACGAAAATTATAAATGTTGAAGATTTGAAATGTCCTATATGCTTAGGTTATATAGATATATTTCGTGGTATAAAAATATAGATAAGGCTTTGAGAGTCAAAAACGTGTCAACGTTTAGTAAACTCACATTTAGCAGGCATTTTTTTAAATTGAAGACAAAATGCGCCATTTTTTCAATGTGGCAAGTAATTACATAAAAAATTTCCTAAACTAAATCAATTTAAATTATGATTTTTCAATTGGGAACTATATCTTCTGATATAGTTCTGTTATAGTTATAATATACACATTTTCGTATTAGTTACAAATTAATATACATGTATTAATTTTGCATAATTATTATTTTTCAATTTAACCTTATAATTTGTTATGGTACAAAGTATATGGATACTAAATAGTAAACGTGTCTTTTTTTTATGCAACTTAGAATGGTAAACAAGCTGACGGCCCACCTGATAGAAAGTGGTAACCGTCGCCTATAGACATGAGCTGTACCATGGACATAATGAAGTGTACTTTTTCGTCTTTGATACCCCCTATGTGTTGCCATTCCTAAGGACTCAAGTGTTATAGCTGTGTACCTTGTAAATTTATTGCTATCTATCGTATGTCTATTCACGAAATATAGATAAAAAAACTTGACCTGGTTTTAGTGAATCATTTGTATGGAAGCACTTTATGTAAATCAATTGATGCCTTGTTATGGTTATTTATAAACGCGTCTATTTATTAACGAATAATTCAATCAATCAATTTATAAGTTCATATATATTTATTAAATTGTACGATATCTAAAATTAAATGGTCATTAAAAAACCCGTACATGATTGACTAAAACTACACGTTTGTCATTGATAAATAAACCAAATGGACTTTATAGAACATTAACAGTTACTCTTATCCTAATATCCTTATAAGGTAAAGTCCCCAGACACCGATATTAGAATAATATAACATCTAAGCCTCATGAATTCATCAATTTGCCAACAATTATAACAGAAATGTGGTTAGTCCCAGAAAATTAATTTAATTCAGTTTATTGGTCAAAGATATAAATATTGCGCTTCAATAGACAAATCATCTCGGTATTGTGTTTATTGTTACCGTGTTATAACTAGCTCCGCCCGCGGCATTTACGTATTAATTAAAACTATAATTTTGTAAAAAACAACAAGAATTCGATTTTAATGTAACATTTCATGGTAGGCCCTCAGATTTTAAAGATATTTCTTATTTGACCGATATATAGATATTGTAACTAAAATATTATATACATATATAAGATATTGTTTTTTATTATACATTCCTAATGGTAAGTCTATCTCTATAAATAAATAAAACTAGTGACCCCATTATTAATTTACCAGAGGGAGACTTTGTACAAAAGTCGATTACTTAGGTACCTCTGTCCCATTCATGTTTCAACCGTAAAGCAGTTGTGTTTGCATGGCTGTGTTTCGGTTTGAAGGGTGGGATATGGCATGAATTTACTGGGTATGGAGAAATAATAACACCTGAGTCCTCAGGAATGGTAACGCATGGGGGTATCATGGGCGAAACAGTGTACTCTGTTATGTCCATGGTACTGCTCATGTCTATAGGCGACAGTTACCACTTTCCATCAGGTGGACCGTCAGTGTGTTTGCCATTCTAAGTTGAATAAAAAAAAATATTAGATTAGATATTTGTATAATTAAATTAATTAAGTCTTCATCTAGTGTATTTAATACAACTTGGTATATATTTAAAGATTGCTCTCAGCAATAAGACCGCCTTCCTGTACTTATACAATTGTATCGTTATGTTTGTAAATTGTCTTGTTTATTTCCTATATTGTATAATGCAAATAAAGTATACTCATTCATTCATTCATTCATTTATTAATATTATACATGTGAAAGTGAGTTTGTTAGTTTATTATCTCATAACACTTTTAACAACTCTACGAGTTACTATTAAATTTCTTATACATTTAATATAAGGGATGGAAAAGTATCTAAGCTACGTTTTATCCCGGTTAGTGTATCTGAACATGCTATCCCGTAAAAGCTAGTAATAAATATTTTTATGATATTTTTAACACGATATTAATCTATTCCTTCACTGTATTAAAATTAACCAAATTGGATATGGAGTGAGAAATTCTTCACCATCAAGCTAGGTGTATTGTTTTGTATCGTTATTGGGGTCGAATCACCACGTAACTAGTGGTTTCGTGGTGGGGGCGATCCTATCAATCAATGGGTCGCGCCTTGATTAAAGCCTGAAAACTTAGTACGCTTTGAACAGATATGACATATTGCTTGTTGACACGCAAGCCCAGTACGTCCAAGATGTTTGGTCACTAGAAATGGACAATTATTTTATAATACTATAGTGGCAAACAAGTATACGGCCAGTCTGATGTTAAAAAGAGTTACCATAGCCTATGGGCGCCTGTAACACCAAGGATATAACGCGCGCGTTGCTGACCCTTAAGAAACTTTGAGTTTTCAAATACGGCCCTTTAGAAAACTCCATGTTGTAGCCTCTAGGGGAAGTCTCGGCAGGAAGATCATTCCACAATCTATGTGTTCGCAGGAGGAAGCTGCTCTAAAAACGCATAGTGCGTGATTATTCTGGTTCTAAAGTGTAAGGATGCATTGCCGATGGCGTAAAGTGCGATGGTGAGAAGTAGCTGTAATTATTGAATATATTTGTTACCAGAGGGAGACTTTAAACCATAAGTTGTCTAATTGGGTACTACTGCTCGTGTTTCAGCAGTCAAGCATCGGTCATCGTAACAACATATGTCATACTAATATCTGTATATTAGTTATTAAAGTGCAAAATATATATATATATATATATATATATATATATATATATATATATATATATATATATATATATATAAACAATGAGATAAAGTGTGTGTTTTATAGTGTGTTACTATAATTGTCACATATTTTTCACCACATCTGCCCTTCATATGCTTTCTGTTTTTACCCAATGGTTAGCTGGTAGAGAATGTCATATGGCATTAAGCTCGCCATTTGTAGAAAGTTTTATTGTGCAATAAAGAATAAAATAAATAAATAAACAATTTGGCAATGAAGTGAACCTCATTTTAAGTTTAAGTATGTTTTATAAATATCATCCAATTCATAGCAATAAAAACAAAAATTAAAATATAACCTCAAAGTAAAATCGTGTTCATGACAACAGTATTGATATTTGTATCGATTTAAAAGGTATATAACTTAAGTATAATAAATTGAATATAATAATTTAATCCACCGATATGGCAACACATGACAGGTACCAAGGGCATAGTATACTTTATGACTTTATGACCTACATCTATACCATTTTCCATAATGGAAAATGGATGGGGCGTCAAATTGTTTGTCATTTGTTCATGAAATAAATAATAGTTATTGGCTAAAACCAATTGTTAAGAAATTTCATTAAAAGTATTTCATAATCGAATACCGATTATTATTGTATTGAAAAATTTACATAAAATATTCGGAATATTTTTCAAGGTCTAGCTTAAAATCTCCTATACTAAAGAGTAAAAATATTCCTACTTTTAAAATTTATACGAAGTAATAGAATAAAAAGCTATAATATCTTCAATGTTAATGCGAGATTAGCTCTTATAGGATAATCAGAGAGAACCATGGTTAACGAACAATTCGATTATTTGTTACATCCAGTAAATTTATAATCATAATACAAAGTAGACAAGCCACGAGTAGGTGTGGTTCGCCCTTGGTACAGCTGTTTATGTGAAAGATAACAATAAATATTCTGAAAATAGATACAATGAAAGTCACTACAAAATAACAATGCCTACATTGATGTCAAACATCATTTTTATCTAGTGTAAAATCTGTCTGTATATTATTATTATTAATTATCATGCAAATACATACAGAAAAACACCCTATCAGGTTGATTTCCACGCGGTTCCCCCTAGAACCCATCGTGGTTAATTCTAGTGGAATTCGTCACGTTAGGCTGACAGACCTACTTTCGTCTTCATCTATTATCGTATACCGTATACCGATAGCGCTGACGGGGTTACCATTATCACCCATTAAAAATAACCTCTTGGACTCGTGTGTGTGGCACTTATTATTTCGCTCTCAAATAATAAGTATTGATATTACATATATATATATATATATATATATATATATATATATATATATATATACCTATATAAATCTGTCAATGATATCTGTATATACAATTTATTTTTTCATAAACGGCAGCTATTCTGTTACTTGAATACTGGCTTGGTATATTAGATTTAAAATGTCATTTACACAAACATGTATATTTTGCTTTGTAAATAAAAAAAAATACGACTGTTTAGTCCAAAATGAACTATTTAAAAAAAATGTAGCCAATATTACTCGGGATGATATCAGGATTCTAACAATACTCCATAGATAGAAATTTGTCCAGATATTTAGAAGATATGGTGATATAAAGATACTCATATACATGAATTCCGAAAACGTTACATTTCTGTTTAGGATAGTCGTGTAAAAAAGACTTTCTCTGGCAGGTTTAACTTTTTTCAATAAAACTGAATAAAGATTTAAACAAACGAATAATTGGCATGTAAATAAAATAGTGTGCTGGGATCCAAAAGCAATGATAATCTTTCTACAATTATACCAATATCATAAATTTTGAGGTCCGCATAATATGATTTAACCATATATTTTTTTATACAACTTAGAATGGCAAACAATCTGACGGCCCACCTGATGGAAAGTGGTAACCGTCGCCTATAGACATGAGCAGTACCATGGACATAACAGAGTATACTGTTTCGCCCATGATACCCCCCATGCGTTGCCATTCCTGAGGACTCTGGTGTTATTCCTCCGTACCCAGTAAATTCACGCCATATCCCATCCTTCAAACCGAAACACAGCCATGAGGTATTGAGGGGTTTTCTCAGTGGTTGCCAGGTCTGACAGGCGGATTAGCATTCACTTTTTACAAGATCCATGGGAAAGGAAGGGGTGGTCTATTCTATGCTGGAACAACACGGTTAAGTACTGTACTTAAGTACATTCAGTTTATACCGGAAAAATTACTTAATCCTAGTAATCCAAACATATCCGATGGCTAGTTAACAAGTTTGCACGACCGCGCCCTAATGAATATTACAACGACCCGTATGTAGGATTATTTATTGAGAATGAATTGCGCCGGTCATAATAGGAGCATAGTTTTAATTAATGTATCAGACAATTTATCATAGGTATCGTGAGTTACATTAAAAGTTATATTATGTAAGTTTGTAATAAGTATAAAAGTATACTATACGTATGTAAGTATACACGCTCATTTGTGTGTGTGCGTTTATAAATGTATGTGATCATATGTGCATGTGTGCGTGCGTGCGTGCGTGCTTGCGTGCCTGCGTGCGTGCGTGTGTGTATAATATCGATTTTGGTGATATTTTTAATCAAAGATTTATGTTGTATACATATTATATTATGTTGTATACATGTTAATCTTGCACATAAACAATAGAACTTAATTTCATAAATCTGAATAATTTAATGATTAAAATTATTATTATTATATTCATAATTATCAATAATAATTAATAATTGTTATTGACGATTGTTTTGGTAATATGATTAAAATATTTAGAATTCAAATTTCAATTTCAAATATTTTGAACTATATTGTTTTTATTTATTTTATCAAATAAATTTATAGGCAAAATTGTAATTAATAAATATTATATTAAAAATGAATATTTTATAACCGCTATTTAGGATACAGGTAATATATTTAAACCAGAATAATGTAACACCAGCTAAAGGTGAAGGCTAATGAATATTGCAAGTGGTGCATGCAGAATTATTCATTCGGGTGAATTACAGCGTTGGTAATAGCATGCTAATGTATGCGCCACCGCCGATAGCCTATCGCGCCGCATATCCGAACAAGTTTTTGCTTAATAATGTATTTCAAAAATTTTGTTTATTTTTTTTATAATAAAGTTAAAAGATAACTGAAAACTTTAGACAGACGAAGATAGATATTTAAAAACTACTTTTAAATTAATATGTTTTAAATCTAGATTTTTACGTATACAGTGGACAGTTAAAGGCTGATATGATGGTGAAGCCTATAAATAGACCATAATATGTTAACCCGTATCCTCGTAGTACAAAAACGTAAGCTAGACTATTGTAAACCGCTTATCGTGTTTTAGCGAAGGATTAATGCGAGAGGCTGTTGCTATGTAAATTTGGCCATTACCGTTGGCCGCGGTAATGTATGTTTATAGCGCAAATAATTAGTTTTTTTTTAATAGGTATTTACTTTTTAAAATTGAATTTGACAATTATTGAAATCTATTTTTATTTATTACTGGTACCGGAGAAACAAATAGTGCATATTTATTTATTTTTATACAATAAAAATACACAATTAATCTATTAAATATAAATTAAGCTTTTTGTAATTTATTAAAAAATATATTTTAATAATCGTTTTAAGTATTTATTACTAACACTGCAGAAACTAATATTACAAATTATTTAAACACATTTATTATTAAATACACTTATTTTTTATTTAACAGAAATTTACATGTGACTAGCTTTTACCGACGACTTCGTACGCGTGATTGGGATTTATGTATTTACTGAAATAGTTGTGTATGTCCTTCTAAAACCTATATAGTATGTGTGTACCAAATTTTATAGTGATTGGTTAAGCCGATAAGATGTTTAGTGGTAACAAATAAACTCACTCAATTTATCGTATATTATATTCAGTCTATACCTTATGTTTATCAAACTGTATGTCCCTCAACCAAGGGTCGAATAATAGTTTCTCTGGTTCCACATTGACGGGACTCTGTCGTCTGCCTTTGTTGCACATGCTCCACTGTGGGTTGATGAGACCCCAGAATCCAGGACCTGGTTAAAAACAAATTTATATTAGGTATTGAAAAAATATATGAATATATGTTTGGACATATCCGTATTATAACACATTTTATGTTAAAAGGTATGCCATATGGTAGCAATAAATAAATGTAAAGAAAGTTACAAATTTCTCAAATGCCAGATATTAAATCATCAAATTAATGTAAAACTAACTTTGTCTACTAAACCGGGATATGTAGACTGACGCCCTTGTTTCTGGAAACACAAGGCCTATTTTTTATTTTACTATAATTTAATAATTAAAACGTAGCTGCAATCAAAAGATAAATCCTGTTATGTTGATGCAGTAAAGTGTTAAATAAATAAATAAATTATTACTATTCAGTCATACAGTACAATAAATACTTCAAATAATCATCATCATCATCATCATAATGCCTGCCCCAGTTTTGCCAATAGTTGCTACGCTTGGCAGGCTGCTTGGCAAACGCAGCTACGCTTTTAGAGATGTTTTAAGAGAGACACTGTACCCCATCCCTATTAAGGTCCTTTAGTTGCCTCCTACGACACCCACGGGAATAAAAGGGGTGGCCTGTTCTATGCCGGGACCACGTAAATATGTAATAATGATATCGCAAATATATGTAAAATGTTGACATTAGCAATTTTCTATTGATATATTACGGACGTAAATCACTTCATTATTCCAATTCACCAACCGTGAAATTCACAAGAAATATCCATTGGGTTATAACTAAAAGTAATAGTTTAAAATGACGATTCATAACTGCGTAACGGGTCGGTTCATAATGCGTATTCAACCCTAATATAACTAGGTCCGCGATATCGAATTCAATAGGAATTTGGGACACCGCAAAATTCGGCCATCACGGTGCGTTGAATCGTGCCTAATGGGACACTGGGGTGACCAAGCCGAGACACTGTCGAAGATCATTACCGGGATCGTTGATGTCATATCATTTTTAGGGTTCTGTACGGTTCAATTTTTTTTAAACTGCCATTTAGTTTTAAAAGTGCCTCGGAACAGTTATCACGTTGCTTTGTCTCCATAAATTTCACTCATAATGGTAGATTGAATTTTTTTATGCATCTTTGAATGGCAAACAAGCTGACAGCCCACCTGGTGGAAAGTGGTAACCGTCGCCGTAACATGAGCAGTATCATGGATATAACCGAGTATACTGTTTCGCCCATGATACTTCCTATGTGTTGCCATTCCTGAGGACTTAGGTGTTGTTTCTCTATACCCTGTAAATTGACTGGCATTTCCCACTATTCAAACCGAAATAGAGCTATGCAAACACAACTGCTTCACGGTAGAAACACGAAGAGGACAGAGGTGCCTAAGCAAACGACTTTTGTACAGTCTCCCTCTAGTAATAATTCTGATTTGTTGTAATGGGACACTGGGGCAGCAGTATCCGCGAAAAAATCAAAGTAACCAACATATCCCAAAGAATAAGTAAGCTGAAGTGGCGATGGGGAAAAAAGGTTCTTGAATGGTAACACCGTACGTGCTAACGCAGTATAGGACGAATACCCATAGATGGAGTGACGACCTCAATAGATGAAGGTGGCTCAGGACTGTTCCCTATGGCAGTCTATGGGAGAGGCCTATGTCCAGCAGTGTACAGTTAATGGTTGAGCTTATGATGAATGAGACAATAGGGTGGCCAAATCGAAACATTACTAAAGATAATTATTTAGAAGGATCGTTTTTTAGGGTACCGTATAGATTAAATGCCATAACGATATTATATAATGATACAAGGAAACTCCTTTCTATCTTTAGATTTAATAACGGCCTTGGGATAGTAGACATGTTATTTTGTCGTCGTTATAATTGGCCATCATGGTATGTTGCGTCGTAGCTAATTGGACACTGGGTTAACCAAACTGACATTTGGTATTCCATACATTCTGTCTACCAAAATGGGAGACAGTCGTGACAGACATGTATGTAAGAGCGTATATAAGGAGAGAAACATAATCAAATGATAACCAATGTGTAAGAACGGAGTCACATCGTAGAATTTATATGGTACCTAATGTTTTATTTCTTGTCGTGCAGTCGAAAATTAAAACGTAAATTATGGACCAATAAAAAGGATGCAAATACTTAAAACCTATATTTAAACTTGTCATAGAGTTGTTTATTGCTTTTCTTAATGTTGTAGTTTTAAATTTTAAATATGGAATGCGCATGCAAAAGGAATTAGCATAATAGCCGTATTTACAATCAAGATAATATGTAAATATTGATAAGTGATTAATACATAGGCCTCATTAATATTACATCCAACAATTATTGTGCGAAATATATGTAACCAAAATAATTTGCAAATGTTTTTATTTAAACATTATATTAATTTATACGGAAATTAATAAATCGTCGTATGTGTCCTGGCATAGAAAGGGCCACCCCTTCCTTTCCCGTGGGTGTCGTAAAAGGGGACTAAGGGAGGGCGAGGGCAGCAGCGTCTGTCTTACAACATCTCTAAAAGCCTAACTGCGGTTGCCAATCCGCCTGCCAAGTGTGGCAACTACTGGCAAAACTCCCCTTATGGGGCTTATATTCAGCAGTGAACAGTTAATGGCTGAAATAATAAAAAAAATACGTAAATTAATGGTACCGCCATAAGAATAAATAAGTACTGCTTTATTACCTTTTGATGGAAATAGTAGTCATAAAATTTGGTATATAAATAGTATTTGGGATAGAGAAGGATATAATATGAAGGAAGGCTTTTTATCCCGGTCAATCAATAAATCCCATTTACACGGACGAAGTTGCGAGTGAAAATTAGTAACCCATAAAGTTATTCAAAGTAAAGGTACATTCACACTTGAAGAGTAAATGTCGGGGAAATTGGGGTCGAGCGTTACTATCTAATATAATGATACGGGTGACTGCGCGACATCATTAAGATACTATCACTGATCATTACCCGGGTGCCATTACACGGATATGGGACTATTTGCCCCAGATTTTTCTATGTACATATTAGCGCGGTTTATTTAATATCGGCATTTGGAGAGGTGATTTCATTTTATTATTATGGGATTGCGGAATCTTTAATTCCGCAAAATAAAATTGGCCATTATTATTTCAGTCATTGTCCGCTGCTGAATAGAAGCTTCTTAAATTTTCCTTCTCTCTTTCTTGTTTATTTTTTTTTTAACGCAATTCAGAATAGCAAACAAGCTGACTGCCCACCTGATGGAATATGGTAACCGTCGCCTATAGACATGAACAGAACCTACCAGTAATAATTGTATATAGTTTTATATTTCAGTTAATAAATAAACAATTCACATCTTCATATTAATTTTAAAATTTATTTTTCAATGAAATGTTATTAAAAAAATAAAGTCATGTGTCGCCGTATAGTCTCGGCAGCGAATAGGCCACCCGTTCCTTTCGTGTGGGTGTCGTAAAAGTAGATTAAGAGAGAGCGAGGGATGGGCAGTAGCGTCTCTCTTAAAACATCTCCAAAACCTAATTGCGGTTGCCAACCCGCTTGCCAAGCGTGGCAGCTACTGGCAAAACTGCACAAGGGGAACGCTTATGTTCAGCAGTAAACCAGTTAATGGCTGATATGATAAGGATGCTGAAAACATATTGAAATATTAAAACATTTAAACCTTCGCGTTGTTAATATATATATTTTAAATACACTGTCCTGTTGTGGTTACAACGTGATGAAATCCAAGTCCAAACGTCAGCAATAAAAATCATGTATTTACGTACTATTCACCTGCAAATTTTCATTTCATTCTGTTAAGTCCCGATAGTGTATTTAAAAATATTAATTTATTTATTTTACACTTTATTGCACCAAGTAAAAAGAGAAATAACAAATATAGTAAATATTAATGAGTAGTGATACAAAAGGCGGCCTTATCGCTAAGCAATCTCTTCCAGACAACCTTTGGGTAGAGGACATTGAGAAAATGATAAAGGGTAGGTGGCGCACTATTATATAAATATTTATATAATTATTTAATTAATTATATACGTATTTAAATAATTATATAATTATTGTGTGATTGAAAAGTTTATTTATTTATTCATTAGTAAAAATATGTGTACAAGGTGGACTTAATGCCAAAAGCATTATCTCTCCCAGTCAACCATAGAGAAGTGTTAAAGTTAAATGTTAAAATTTTAAAGTTCAAATCTTTTTCTTCCGTTTCCAATTTATTTATTTTGTGATACAAATCCAAAGACATTAATTGATAATTTGAATAGTGAAATATTTACCTGATATTCCATCGTACGTCCACCATTCTTCCCAGCTGCCAGATATATCTGAAAAATTGTACATACTATTAAAAATATGTATTATATATGTATACCTCTTCAATATAGTATATATACCTTTTCAATATAGTATACAGAATATAGTATTCAGCAGTGGATGGATAATGGCTGAGATGATGACGATGGTGATGATGATATATATATATATATATATATATATATATATATAGTATGCAATAGTGATATGTAGATGAATTTATTAATAAATTTTATACTTATTTTAAATAAAACAAATTTGAACTAAGAAAATAGTGAGGGGATTTTCTGACAGTAAAATTGATTCGATAATAAAAAAGTACAAAACAAATAAATTTGTTATAATAATTAAGATTTTGCTCTGAAAAAGCTTTACTTGTATCGTAACATCAAAAAAAATAATAACTAGCGATTCATCCTGACTTCATACGGGTAGATAAAATTTTCGAAAATAAATTTATAAATGTATTTAAAAGTGTATCAACATGACTATTTGTTTGTAGTAATTAAATAAATAAAGTAAAATAGTATATGTTACTCGCAAATAAAATAGCTTTCTATAGGAGAAAGAATTTTTAAAATCGGTTGAGTAGTTTTTGAGTTTATTCATTACAAACAAGCATACAAACCTTTCCTCTTTATAATATAAGTATAGATAGTGACTGAGATCAACAAGATTCCATTCATCGCAAAAATAATAATTACCAAAATCAATTCAGATCACTACAAACGAGTAAATACAAATAAATTGTTAACCCTCCTTTTTTAAAGTCGATTAAAAATCCGACTATTACGGACGTTTATGTGCGCCGACTAGCATTTTGCATCCGGAGTGCGGTGAGTTAATTTCTAAGCAATTTAAAATTATATACCCTCGAAAAAAAATAGAATAGCTCCCTATAAGTTTCGTTTAGCGATCGCATGAGAAAGAATAAAACATTGGATGTTGTCATCTCGTTCTATTTCATGAACTTGCTAGTGATAACGATTATATCAATTATTATTATTCGTTTGTCTAGGAATCTCCTATATAGGTGTATAGGGGATAGAGTAAATAAATTTATTACATATGCATTTAAGGCGAGACTGCTTCTTATATCTTCTACCGCCCGGATAACGGATTAACTGAAGAACTGTTCAATATGATGCTTATAGTCACTTTTCACTATTGCACTTCTCGCCACTGGCAAGGAATCCGTCCTTAGAACACCTTACATCTTAGAACCATTGGTCACGCACAGTGCGATTTCAGAGGTACTTCCTCCCTCGAATACTCAAGTTATAGAATGGTCTTCCTGCCGAGGCTTTCTCTAGAGGCTACAGCATGAAGTTCTTCAGAAAAGCGTATTAAGGTTTCTTAAGGGTTGGCAACGCGTGCGTGACGTCTGGTGTTACTGGCGTCCATAGGCTATGATAGGTCCGTTTATCATCAGACGGGCCGTATGCTTGTTTGCTGCTTTAGTAGTATTAAAAAAATGATATAATCATACAAATTAATGTATGTGTACCTTTGACTGAGACGCATAGGAGTGTTAGTATGAAGATCGAACATTGGTGCATAGTGAGGAGACGAAGTCACGCCGGAGACCGCATCTGGTACGCCGCCACTGGAACAAGCGGAATTGATCGTGAGACATAGGATATTAAATATATAAAAATTATTATTACAATATATATATATATTCTGACGATTTTAGAACAGTTATTAGAGGTATTTGTCGAATTTCGAAAAAAGGTTTTCAATTCGATGCCATTTTTTTTTTCGTTTATTACCTTAATAACTCCGCCAGTTATAAACCGATTTGAAAAATTCATTCTTTATATGAAAGGGTTATATTTAGTAATTTAGTTCTTAAATTTTTACACCATTAAAGCCCACTTTTTTGTGGACCACAATTTGAAATTTTGAAATGAGCCCGACCAAGAATCGAATTCGAGACTTCATACAAAATTACAACTATGTCATGAAGGTATAAAAAAAACCACATAAACAATAAACAAAATTTACTTATTAGCTAGTTTTCTCTAATGGTAAGTAAATAGGTAAAATGTATATAAAATACTTATGGAGATACCAGACTTGCATAAGTCACTAACAATATAAAACCAAATCGCATGCTCAACGACGATTAGCACTGCATATTTGTCTTATGCTAAGGCCGGCATCGGTTAATTACAGCGCCACTAAACCGCTTGAAGCTTTCAGCCGGGTGGACTACACTTTTACGATAGTACATACTAGGAGCACATGAGTAAATATTTTAGTTCTAGTGCTAACTAGATAATATCATCGTTAGTTTTACTCAAATCAATATATAAGTATATATAAGTACTACGTACTCACAAATATTTTGATTTAGTCTCAGTCGGTAGCTTTAAATGTATTGAAGAATTTTTAATACCATTTATTTATTTACAATATTACACACTATTAAACTAATATATTATAGAGAGTAAAAATGTTATTTTTTTGTCTGTTTGTTTGTAATGGATAAATTAAAAAATTAGATACTCTATCGAATTTAAAAATTCTTTCAGCTCTAGAAGGCTTTATTATCAGCGAATAAGATAGGTTGTTATTATCAAAAACACGTATAAAGCTGGTGCGAGTCGCTAGTTAGAAATATAAAAAAAATATTTTGACACTATGATTGTAACATAAATAATATGAATAATATATATGAATAATTAATATTTAGTTACAGATGTCATGTTCATTTACTAATTATATAGTTATAATTGTATATTATGTTTTACATGCAAACCTTACAGATGCTTCTCCTTTCAGGTTCTCAAAGTTGTCTAGAAGAGATCTCTTTTAGAGATAAGTCCGCCCGTTTAAAATTTTTATAATAATCTAATATCAATATTAAAAGTGAATTTACAAAAGTATGTAAATAATTAAATTGTAATCCACAAAACTAACTTCAATTGTAATAAAAGTAATTTTAATTTAAATACTAAACTACTAAACGAATTTAAATAAAAATTCCGTGGAACTAATTTATACATATACCTTTCAGATAAAAAAAGAATCATCCAAATCAGTTTTACAAGTGACGGAGTTATGAAGTAATAAACATAAAAAAGATGTAACCGAATTAAGAACCTTCATCTATTTGAAGTCGGAGAAATCAAAGAATAATCGAGTTTTTTTCAACTTCTCCTACGTTTTATTTCATTGCATGAAAATCTCTTAAAAATAATAAAAATAAGAAAGTATTTAATCTATTAAAGTGCACAGACTTACACCGAGATAGATGTAGTTCGCACGATTTCTATCGGAACGCTAGGTAAGATCCCGTAACTAAATAAACCACTGTTATCTCAGCTAAGGAGGGTATTTAAAAAAGACAACCACCAAAGGAAATTACCGGTTTATCTCTACACCGAGTCGACCGAGATAAAAGTAATGCCGGCCAAATTACACTACGCCCCGATCCTTAATTATCATTGGAGACAATGAGTACGATCTTTATCGGATAGATAGGTACTTGTGTGTGTAATTCTTAGATTATAAAGTATATTCGAGCAGATTGGAAGTGTATAAGAAAAAAATGAATTAACATATAAGTTAGAGTGAGATAGATAAGTAGGACATCACGTACACAATATAAGCTCGAAGCGGATTTGCTGGAAGTATGAATGGTCACGAACTAATTAAAAATTATAATAATTACGTAAATTTCTACTATTTTTGAAACTTCAATTTCATATAAATTCAGGCTTGTCACATTAATATATTTTACAAATCACGCACACTAATTAATGTAACTATTTTATTATCACGTTTTTGTGGTTGAATTGCCAATGTCAATCGCTTTTTCTTCATCTATAGTGCAAGTATATACATACTTTATTGATTTTTAATCATGGGACCTTTGAAATCTGTATCTAATTATACCAACAGTGAATAGCTCTCTTGCTGTATTCTAGTTTGAAGAGTGTAATAAGGAAATGGATACTGTAGTTTGAAAATTTCATATTACAATAATTAGTAATGTTCCAGAGTTGCCTTTGATTTTGCAAGCATTGATGGACTGAACCACTTGCTGTCGGAAGAATGCTTCATAAAACCCTCATTGTATACCAAAAATATCTCTTATATCCATATAAATAATCATAAACAACACAGTTGCCGATGATTAAGATCAGGAATGAAAGCAGAGCCCTTAAAGGCGTTCGGTGCGCAATCTTCAGTCGTTAGCCCCTCCCATTTCCGTTGTAAAGCCGATAGCGGTTCCCTTTAACGAGGTAGGCTATCATTTGAATTCATTTATAAAATGTTCGAGTTTTCAACATGATTGTTTTGGGGTTGGAAAGCTTGTAATTGGGGGTTATGTGGTGTAAACACGCATGAATAGCAAACGTGATGGAGATAAATGAAGTGATACGTTTATAATCAAGACAATTTTGTGGCATAGTCGACTAGAAGACCCGCCACAATGAGGTTTAGCTTGAATTAATCTCAAATAGATTAAGGTTACGAGCAATCTGAAACATTGGTCCAAGTTTTGGCTTCTCGATTGAGCAGCTAAATGTTGTATTGTTTACTTTCACGTTGAAGTTTGGTTGAAGGTTAATTAATTTATCAGTTAATAGATAGGTATTATTGATAAGAGAATATTCCGAGATTCTGAATTTTGTACATTCTGAGTATGAAAAAAATGCCCATTTATCGTTATAAAAATTGATATTTTTATAACGAGAAATGGGCTATATATATATATATCTTATGATATGCTACTAGTGTCATATTAACCATCATCATCATCGTCTCAGCCATTATCTGTCCACATAGGCTACCCCCATAGACTGCCATAAGGAACTGCAATGTATTTGACTTTCTGCAATGCATTTGAGGTTGTCACTCCATCTAGTGGGGGGTTGTCCGTCATTGCGTTTGCCTGTACGGGGTCGCCACTCAAGAACCTTTCTTTCTCTTCGATTGTCGATTCTTCGAGCTATGTGACCAGCCCATTGCCACTCCAGCTTGTTTATGCCTCTGACTTTTCATATTGATGATAAATAGAAATTTTTCAGAATCAGTTTAGAACTGAGCGAAAAAAAAACATTCTTAGACCATCTTCAACACCTCTTTCAATCTACATCATTAATAAATAAATATAAATATATACGAACAAATCACACAGATTGAGCTAGCCTCAAAGTAAGTTCGAGACTTGTCTTATGGGATACTAACTCAACGGTATTATATTTATAATAGATACATATATAGATAAACATCCAAGACCCAGGCCAATCAGGAAAAGATCGTTTTCCATCATGACCTGGCCGGGAATCGAACCCGGGGCCTCCACGTCGCAGGCAGGCGTGTTGACCGCTGCGCTACGGAGGACAATACATTCGGTTAAAAAATATTTTATTTATTATTATAACTGCCCCTTAATACATGAACGACCTAATAAATCATCATGAATTTTAACATACATCTTGGATGAAGAAGATCATATAGATCATAGAGATACATTTTATCACAGTCAATTAACATAATATCTTGGTAATGTGTACAAAATCGTGACCTGCTAAGATACCCACGTGGGGGCGAAGTATTGTTAGTAATGAGAACGTTAATTCCCATTGCTAGCAATATATCAGGTCGACCTTCACGCAGTTGACCTTAGTAATCCTCTCGACTAATTATTGTTAAATTCGTCTCGATGGGCCAACTGATCTGACTTTATCCTTACCTATCACCTCTCATCGGTGCCCTGCCAGTGTATATATACCTATAGTCAGCGCGAACGGGGTTACCATTTCATTGTCAACCATAAAAAAATATACCTTCGTACACTGATACACCTTTCCTATTTTTAAACGATCGGCGATAAAGACAAAGTGTGTCCATAAAAGTCTAAAACAAAGATCGATTAATACTACCCCACATTTTGGCATTCGTGAGTTAATATAATTCGTAGAATTTGCTGCGTAGAATAACACAATTTTCCTCTTATATAGCTATCGTCTACTTAGTGAGGGGAGGAACAGGGAAGGCAGATAGTCTGGGGATGCTGCAGACAATCAGGCACCCGCCAGTCTGGCGCCATATGTATACAGTCAATTCTATGTTATGGCAGTTTTACGATTTATTTAATTTTACTCCCATACTACACATATATTACTTACAAAAATATTTCAAAAAGTGGTCCATAACAAAAAAGATAAGTTTAATCAAGATTGTATAATGAATCAAATCTGAATCCATAATTGTTATAGAATTTACGAAGGTATTGTATGTTATACACACACTAATAAACAAGTACATTTTAATAAATAAAAAAGCAGAAAAATTAATCAGTCAAAACATATCGACAAATAATAATAATAATTTTTATTGGAATAAAAAAAACTATTTCTTACAATTACAAAAATAGGATAGTGTAAGATAATAGCCGCATTAGGTAAAAACTGTGTCTGTGTGTGTGAATGTTGAGACGAATAAAATTTGAAACGATGTATGGATTACTCTTTCACACAAAATTTACTAAACGGATTTGAATGAAATTTGGCACGCAGATAGGTTATATCGTAACTTTGCATAAGGACGGATTCACGCGAATAAAGTTGCGGATACAGAGAGTATTAAATAAATTAAATACATGAATGAAACATTCAGATTTTTCGTAGACTTACATTAAACTGAAAATAATGGAATATGATTGCGGTATAATATATCTGCTAATAGGTTTCGCTTCTCTAGGAGCATTTATGTGCTTTCCCAAAAAAATGGTATATTTAGTAGTGAACAAAAAAAAAAACAATAGGAACTAACCCGTGATAAAATCCTGTTGTTTGTAAAGATAACTATTTATTTAAATGAATTGAGAATGTTTCCATTTTTGAAGACGCTTATAAATTGGATTATGAACTAATGACAAACAGACATATATTCATCATCAAAATTACATTTCAGATGTTTTATAATATAAGGCGTAATAAATAGCAAAGAATGGCTCATTATGACAAAACTTCATTCGCAACAACAATTACTTATTGCAAAAAAATACATTTGCTAAAATCATAAATCTAAACTGAATGTTTTGGGGAAATGAAGGATTTTTTACTTTATTGCATAAGCTTTAAGTCCGTCTTTTACTTGATGGGTGTGGTCGTTAAGGCCTCGCCAGACAGGAAGCAAGTGGCGGTTTCGCAACAAAGCTACGCGGCTCAGGATGTGGGTGTATCTGTGTTTAACGTTCCAACAAAGCAACTGAGTAGGCCTAACTAGGTTTTGCTTTTTCCGTTTACAATGTTAGTACAGTGGTTAGCAAGCACGCGGCTCGATTTGATCACGATGAAAAGTTTTTGCAAGCTTCTAATTAGCTTGTGCGTTCCGCGTATTTAATAGCTTGCGCAGACGTGGAATATTTCATCCGTATAAAATTTTTTGTTTAAGACACTTGATTTGAAAAACAGTGGACAAATTTTACGTCGTTACTTCGATTTGAGTTAAAAATTGCATCTCCTGACACTCATATTAAATGTAGATATTTCCTGAGGGGTTGGGCAACCACTAGTCGGGAAGTCGCGACGCAGTGGCGCCAAAAGTTCACCGAACTTAACCGAGAAGTTGCTACAGTCAACGTTGAATTGGCGAATCTTCATAAACCTTATTCTAAAGCTATGAATGAGAGTTAGTTATTGTATTTTTTTTTACTTATATCTATTATTATTTATTACTTTACAAAATTCGACTACATACACATGCGACTATATAGCAAGTTACACATGTTAAGAGCAATTATTTTTGAGTAATACAACCCCTTTAATAGGGGGGAAAGGGATTGTTAGTAATGGAGACTGAGAATCCCATTGCTAGCAATATACCCAACCAGGTCAATCTACTCGCGGTTCCCCCTGGAAACTATTATGGTTAATTCCTGATGAATTCACCATGATGGGCTAACTGACCTGTTTTCATTCTCATCTATCACCCTTCACCGGTGCTCCGCCAGCGTATTCCGTTAGCGCAGGCGCGGTAACCATACCATATTCACCCATCAAAAAAAAACCTCTTTAATAGTTTTTACGTATTTATTTACGAGTATAATCAGCTTAAAGAATTCAGTATCACAGGGACCTTTTTGTCTTACTAGTTTAACTAACTTAATTTAGTTTAAATATATATTTAGTATATCCTTTGTGCAGGGATCGAAACTGCAACCATCACATCATCATGTGATTCGGAACACCACCAAGATCTTTTTTTATGCAACTTAGAATGGCAAACAAGCTGACGGTCTACCTGATGGAAAGCGGTAACTGTCGGTAGATATGAGCAATACCATGGATATAACAAAGTATACTGTTTCGCCCATGACATCCTCCGTGCGTTGCCAGAGGACTGTGTTATGCCTTTGTACCCTGTAAATGTACCCTCCACGGTTGAAGCACAAATGGGACAGAGTTAACCCAGCAAATTACTTTTGTACAAAGTCTCCTTTTGGTAAAAATCTTTATAACACTCTTAGTTTTCATATAAATTAAAGTGTTTGTGCATCTATCTATGTATGACTATGTATGAGCGGGCAGACACCGTGTATAAATCAGGTGGGTATTCTAATTACAATAAATGGGTCCCACGGCGCAGCGATGACCTGGGCTACTTGTGTGCTTTATTTACTTTAATTATTGCAAAGTGCGAATGGCCGTGAATGAGATAGTAGCAAAATATCTATTTACCTATATCACCACACCTATTTCCCCATTAACTAAGTATCATCAACTGTCGTATGATGCATTATGTTTATATACCTTTCAAAATATGAAGTTACGCCCATTGACGAATAAAGTTCTGAACCCTAACTTAACCTAAGGGTATTTTTGTTAGAGTCTTTTATACAACTTAGAATGGCAAATAAGCTGACGGCCCACCTGATGGAAAGTGGCAACCGTCGCCAATAGACATGAGCAGTACCATGGACATAACGGAGTATACTGTTTCGCCTATGAAACCCCTATGCCTTGCCATTCCTGAGGATTCAGATGTTATTCCTCTGTACCCTGTAAATTCACGCCATATCCCACCCTTCAAACCGAAATACAGCCATGCAAACACAACTGCTTCACGGTAAAAAACACGAATGGGACAGAGGCCTTCCAAGACACAAGCTTACGCGTTCACCACTAGAAACAACCCATTTTTTATACCACGAAGGTGGCAAACAAACATACAGCCGGTCTGATGGTAAACGGTTACTGTAACCTATGGACGCCTGTAACACTAAGGGTGTCATGTGAAAAAGAAATCTTAATTTTGAAAAACCTCATATTTTTGCTTCATAATTCTAAAACATTTCCGGTACTACCTTTTGGAATATTGGGAATTTGGAATTCTTGATTTTGATGTCTTCAAAACTGTCGACTTTCACAGTCACCTCGAGGATAATATGAAGCATCCAAAAAGGCTGGTGTCCTTAATGGAGTGAAGTAGTGCTTTACCTCAAGAAAGACATTATATATTATTATTATATAAAGCCTAAGTACGATCAGAAATGGAGTACTGCTTTTATTTATGGACGGGAGCGGCTGGTTTTGGAGACTTTTGACTCGGTCCAATAGTGTGCTAGAACGGTGACCACGACCGCTTGTTTGCGCACTTTATAGTAATTAGAGCAACTAATAACTACAACTACCACACTCATTTATTCAAAGACTAGGAGTAATCTAATATCACATGTTACATTGTCTTTTAAATTTTAATTGTCATTAAATGTTGGCATTCTATAAAATTAAAAGTGTAAAACCAAGAGTATTTTTCAAATGCTTTTTTTTAGAGAAACGAGTCAAATCAGGGCTATAACTAGAACCATGTTTAAGGTTGGACAAAAGAACTTTTTGATAAGGCAGAAGCCATATAAAGCCATATGTATCAATAAAGTGACTTCGAAAAAGCAAATCTGTCCAGTTTTCTTGGAGTCTTCCATTTTAAGGTTGCCCCCCTCCTCCTATGCGTCAAATTAATAAAATAAAAGATTTTTAACATCTCCTATTAAAGCTTTCTAGTATTTCCTGTTAAAACGACGCATCTAGATGTTTCTAGCAAGTTAGCATGGAAGATTGGGGAAAGAGATTATTAGTAATGGTGTCTAATATCCCTATTGCTAGCAATATACTTCATTAGGTTGACTTCCATGCGTTTGCTCCTGAAAGCCATCGTGGTTAATGTTGAATTCATCACGATGCACCAACTGACCTATTTCTATCTTCACATATTTTTTTTAATGGGTGATAATGAAATGGTAACCCAGCCTGCGCTAGCGGGATACGCTAGCGGGGCTCCAGTGATGGATGACAGGTGAGGATGAAAAGGCAGGTCAGTTAGCCCATCGTGACGAATTCCATTAGAATGAACCACGATGGTTTCCAGGGGGAACCGCGTGGAGGTCGACCTGATAGGATGTATTGCTAGCAACGGGTCAATTAGATCCCATTACTAACAATCCCTTTCCCCCTATCCTCACATATTATCCTTCACTGATACCCCGCCGGTGTTTACCAATAACGCAGGTGGGGTGACCCTTCCATTTATCATTCATTAACAGAATGGGAGACTCTTAATTTCCTGTTATTTTTCAACCCATGTTTTTTTTTCTTTCTGTATATAATAACAAAAAAAATTGTGCTTTATATTTTTTTTATTGTCAATTTCGATTTATTTTTTATCGCCTAAAATAAAAAAAATATTATTACACTTTATTGCACCAAGAAAAAATAAAAATAACAAATACAGTAAATATTAATGAGAAGTGATACAAAAGGCGGCCTTATCGCTAAGCAATCTCTTCCAGACAACCTTTGGGTAGAGGACATTGAGAAAAAGACAAAGAGTAGGTGGCGCACTATTATATAAATATTATCATAAAAAATAATTATTTTTCACTTAGACTCTCTCAATTCAACACTTAGATGATAATTTTCTGTATCAAAAATGTACTAGGATTAAGAGAACATAATTAACCTTTGTATAAGACAATAGGATTCGGTTTGTTTATTCTAAGAATCCAGTGCTGAAGTAAATTCTTGCTTAGTTTCAACGATAGTACTTCACTGTTCATAATAAAATTTCACTAAACGTTTGCACAAAGGAATCGGAGATCTGAACCGATCCAATACATTCGTTCGTTTCACACAGGGGGTGAGTATCGGATTCCCCTATACGAAATACAAATAAACTTGGCCGCCTATTACACCGACATGTTTTGAATTCTATTAAACATTTAATTGCTTTCGAATTTAATCGACAGAGAACCTGTATTCGCATGTTTGTTTTCTATTTAATAAACCACTTACTATATTAAAATTCTTATTAAATAAATACTTGTAATTGTAAAAGTGAATTTGTTTCTTTGTTACTTTTTGGCGCCTTAAAGATGCAACAACCAACCATCATGAAATTTGATATTAGTATTATTTGGGATAAAGAATAATATAGATGTTACAGCTACTTTTATATATTTTTTATTAATCTATATATCCAAGTCTCGCGAACAAAGTCATTGGTAAGAGGCAGTAATGAATAAAATAGTTATTTACTGCGAAAAAATTATAAACCACTATGGTTTGAAAAACATCTTTGGTTTCCATTTCCAAAATCTTTAATTCTTTTTGTACTCATATTGTTATTGTAAAAAAATCTTATTTACAATTTAAATGTGAGTCTATTTCCTAGTTAACTTTCTAGAAAATAGTCATTCATTAGTTTGTAAACCTCATTATAATATATCAGACTAAGAATTACGCTACGTTGTGAGTGACAACCTAATGCAGTAACAAGTAGGTACTAGTAAGTTAATTTAGTTGAGTGGGTTTGCTCGTGCATTGTCATCGGCTGTTTATCGTCAGCCGACCAACTTAATGGTATTAAACTTGAGATATAAATGTATTCTTTGAACTGGGATTTATATATTATATGTACTTAAATATATAACCACAATATCGATTTTGTACCTCTGAATATTGTGGCATGTGTTTTTCGAAGCTATTTATTTGATGAGACCTTATTATGTTTTAAATATAATTGAATATTAGTCTTGTATTGTTGAATGATACCTATAACATTAAATGAATTATATATTAGATAGGGAGTGTTTCATTGAATACTGAATTGAATTGTATTGAATAACGTAGAAATGTAATCATCATGTCATCGTCATCGTTTCAGCCATCTACTTAATGATACTAGATAATAGTAGTTCTAAACATGATAAAAATATATTTATTATTACTATAATGCCGTGTGGTCCCGGCATAGAATGGACCACACCTTTCTTTCCCGAAAGAGGCGACTAAAGGAACCTAATGGTCGAAGGATGGGCAGCAGCATCTTAAAACATCACTAAAAGTCTAATTGCAGTTTTCAAGCTGCTTGTCAAACATGGCAATTACTAGCAAAAACTTGTGTGGGACGCCTATGTTCAGCAGTGGACAATTAACGGTTGATTTGGTGATTTCTACATCGAATTTAATTGATTTTTGTTTACTAACACATAGGGCTCTATATATATTACTAGCGGCCCGTCCCGGGTGGACATTTTTACAATATTTTAAAAAGTGGTTATTGTGACACAACGATAATAATTGGACATCGGCAAGTTTTTGGTAGTTATTGATATTTTCTTCATTATTATAGAA